GACTTTTCATGCCTTTTTCATTCGTCGTGTGCTCCTTGTCCCCGTGGTAATTGATATTGCTGCCCTCCCTTCCTTCCGTCCTTCCTTCCTTCCTTCCTCCCTTGTGCTTTTTAGGTAATGTGCTGCCTCTCTGCATATGATGATGACTACACGCCATGCTGCTTCATTTCATTCCTTTCTCCTCCCTTGTGCTCTTCTTGCTGGTCGCCAGTTTCGCAGTCAAGAACATTGTCTCGCTGCTCTACACATCCATCGTCGGCCTCTGCATCGCCGTCCCTCCACACCCGTGCTGCCAATAATACCACTCTGTTTCCTTCCATTCCCGCTGATTCCATACCATCCCCCTCAGGTGGTGGTTCTCTTCTTACTCGTCGCCAGTTTCGCAGTCAAGAACATTGTATCGCTGCTCTACACATCCATCGTCGGCCTCTGCATCGCCCTCCCCCCGCATCTCCTCCGCTTGCTCTGGCCGCTCCTTACAGTCACATTCGCTGCAATCACCCTCTGGCAGTACTACATGCTCGCTGGCCCTCCTCCCTTCGACCACCCGCCTGCACCCCCTCCCTCGCACACCCCTCCTGCATACCCTCCCTTTCACTACCCTTCTGAATACCCTCCCTTGAGCAATCCTAGATTAGTACTGGATCCCCAGTCACAGCAAGACAGCCAGCGTTCCCTTCTGGGTGTGTTCCTCCCACCACAGGCACACATCGCCTCTACATCCTTTTCACCACAAAAACATCCTAGCTCTCCCTTCAATCCGCCTGCTGATTTCCCCATTAGTTATAGCCAGAGCGCACTTGGGCTCCAGGTTGGTAACTTTAGCAGGAACGCATTCAGCAGCAGAGGGGTGTTCAATGTCAACAGGCGGCCCCACCCGCCCAAGACGCACAGCCGCAACTGCCAGGACTGCTGGCTCAGCACGGACTCGAAAGACCCCACCTGCTGGGACTGCTGGCTCGGTGAGTTTGGCTGCGGTTGGGCTGGGTGCATATAGGTAAGAAATGGGTGCGAAGGAGAAGCACTCAACAGGAATGAAGAGTCTCAAAGGCGGCCTCACCCGCCCAAGACGCACAGCCGCAACTGCCAGGACTGCTGGCTCAGCACGGATCCCAAGGACCCCACCTGCTGGGACTGCTGGCTGGGTGAGTTGAGTTTGCTGCGGTTGTGTGCACTGATCCGCGGTACGGTTGGGTACGTATAGTTAACATTTGGGTGCTCTGGAATTGCTGGTGATGTGAGTGCGTGAGCTGAGCTGCGGTTGTGTGAGTTGACCTGGGTTTGGTTGAGTCCAGTTGATGGCTGAGTGAGTGGAGTAGGTTGCTTCTTTCTCCCCTTATTCTGTAAACGCGTTGACCCTTCAGAAACTTCTCATAACTTTCAACTCTCTCCCACTGGACCTCGATTCATTCATTCCCTTCACATCACGCCCTTCACATCATGCCCTTCACATCATGCACCTGCTCCTTTCTCGTTCCTCTTTGACTGCATGGCTATGGAGGGAGGAGACGACCATGGCATGGCATGACATGGCATGGCATGGCACGGCGTGGCATTGTGGGCGACTGTCGCACTCTGTGTGCCTACTTTGGCGCCCTTTGGGATATCGCAAGGAATAATCTATTACTAACAAAAGGGTTCTTTTCCCTTTCCTTTGCTGGCTGCCAGGTGGCATTGTGAAGGACCATCGAATCCTCTGTGCCTACTTTGTAGTCTTCCGCCTCTCCCCTTCCTTCGTCTTAATACTCAAAAGTGCCTTTCCTTCTTCTTTGTTTGCTGGCTGCCAGGTGGCATTGTGGACGACCGTCGGATCCTCTGCGCCTACTTTATAGTCTTCCGCCTCTCCCCTTCCTTCGTCTTAATACTCAAAAGTGCCTTCCCTTCTTCTTTGTTTGCTGGCTGCCAGGTGGCATTGTGGACGACCGCCGAATCCTCTGCGCCTACTTCATCGTCTTCCTCCTCTCCTGCCTCCTCCTCTCCCCTTCCTCCTCCTCCGCCTCCTCCTCCGAATCCTCTTCCACCTCCACCCATTCAAACCCATCTTTCCCACTCAACACCGCACCGCACCTCACCAGATGGACCTCCCTCCCTCCGCCACCCCTCCCTCCACTCTCAACCCCCCGCTCCCCCCACAACACTCACCCCTCCTTCCCCCCGCCTCCTTCCCCCCACCCATCCCCCTCCTCCTCCCTGCACCCTCCCACCTCCCCCTGGCACGACCTTTCAGAAGGGCCCTCACCCAGCTGGACCTTTCTGGACCACTGGAGATTCCTCTACTACAAATACCTCCTCTGGATAGTCCTCATACTAGTCTTCGCCACAGGCACCCTCCAATACGACCTCCTACACTGCGGCTACCTCGCACTCTCCCTTCTCAGCACACGAAAACACGCGGCGATTCTTCGAGGCCAGACTACTGTACTGAACTACCTCCGAGCGTACAACTTCCTTCTTATCACCGCTTCCCTGGTCTACCAATGCCCGTATTTCCCGTACCTGCCCGCGCTATCGTGCAACCCGTTTAGTATAGTCGGGCTGTATAAGTATGACTATGGGCTGAGGATGGACACGAGGAGTGCGGTGGTCGATCTGACCATGTTTGTGCTCATCACGCTGCTGGCTCACAGCCTTCGATCCGAGCTGTTTCAGCAAGTGCTGCTCTTTACCACCAAGCAGGAGGTGAGGCACAAGGCATGGGTAGACTGTAGGCTGGTAGGAACATCAAAGGAGTGCAGTGCGGTGGTGGTGGGTGAGTGGATGTGAGCATGTTTGTGCTCATCACCCTGCTGGCTCACAGCCTCCGATCCGAGCTCTTTCAGCAAGCGCTGCTCTTCACCACCAAGCAGGAGGTGAGGCACAAGGCACGGGTAGTCCGTAGAGCATAGGTGGGTTGGCGCACCAGAGGAGTGCAGTGCGGTGGTGGTGGGTGAGTGGGTCTGACCATGTTTGTGCTCGTCACCCTGCTGGCTCACAGCCTCCGATCGGAGCTCTTCCAGCAAGCGCTGCTCTTCACCACCAAGCAGGAGGTGAGGCACCAGGCAGGCATGGGTATGGGTACGTGGGTAGGGTGGTAGGTAGGTACATCAGAAGAGTGCAGTGCGATGGAAGTGGATGTGATGCGATCATGGTTGTCCAATCTTTCTTCCCCGAAACAGGAGCGGGACAGGCAGAGAGCGTTGGAAATGGCAGCGGCGTGGCAGAGGGAGCGCATCTGTGGCAGCTCAACACCTCCCCCCTCCTCCTCCCCCCCATCCCTCCCCAAATTATCCTCCCCCAAAACAGGAGAGGGACAGGCAGAGAGCGTTGGAGATGGTGTCGGCGTGGCAGAGGGAGCATCAGCGGCAGCTCAATGCTTGCGGACCACCACCCCCGATACCTATTTCCTTGTGAATTCACTCTGCCTCCCACGGGCCACCACCCCGTTACAGGAGCACCTTTGAGTCGACTCAAAAGCAGGCTCAATGCTCGCCGACCACCACCCCCGATGCCTATTTCCTTGTGTAAATTTACTCTGCCTCCCACCCCCTCTCCTTCCCCTTTAACAGGTACGGGACAGGCAGAGAGCGTTTGAAATGGTGGCGGCGTGGCAGAGGGAGCATCTGCGGCAGCTCAACCCCCCACTGTCTCTCCACTTGCCCTCCCATTCTCCTTTCCTACCAGGAGAGGGACAGGCAGAGAGCGTTTGAGATGGCAGCAGCGTGGCAGAGGGAGCATCTGCGGCAGCTGCAGCAGGCGGAGGAGAGGCGGCGGCAGCGCAGCGAGGAGGTGCAGCGCATGAAGGAGGGCATGCGCCGCCTTCACTCCCACCTCTCTCTCCTCAACTTCCCCCAGTGTGAAAGCCCTAGGGGAAGAGGTGGGGTAGCTGGGCCAGGGGCGGTTAGACTGGCGCAGCAGCATCAGCAGCAGGTGCTGCAGCTTATGCTGACGCGGGGGAGGGTGGGAGGAGGAGGAGGAGGAGGAGGAGGGGAGGAGAGGGAGAGGGATGGGTAGGAGCAGGAGGAGGAGGAGGGCGAAGGGGGGTGCAGGGGAGTGGATGGCAGGAGCTGTCTTGTGATTCGTCAGAAGCTGCAATGGTTCAGAAAGAGGTCCAGAGTGGTGCAGATGGTGCTGGCTACGGTGGTGCTCCTGCGGCTACCGCTGCAGCTGAAGTTGCCACTATCACCACCACCACCGCCACTCATACCACATACCACCTCCCTCGGCCAACCCCCTCAAGCGCGGCAGGTCAACCCCCTCCCACTGCCCTTCTCCCTCCCGCCGCACTCTCCCCTCCTCACCACATACCATCCAGTACCCTATCCACTCCCTCTCCCTCCCCCACGTATAACCTTCCCCCACTCTATCCCTATCCCTCCACCTCCGCCTCCCCAGCTGTACCTCCCCCAGCTGGCCCCTCCCCCGTGGGTCCTGTGCTGTCTGACGGTGGAGACTCCCCCATGCTGCCCCCTGCTTGTACTGGACCATCTTATAACGCGGTTATGGGGAGGGCTAGGGCTGCTGCTGGGAGGGGATATGCTGAAAGAGGAGGAGAGGTGTGGAGACGAGAGGGGGGAGGAGAAGAGGGAGGGAGAGTTGAGGGGGTGGCAACAGCACCACCTTCAGTCTCTTCAGGCAATGTTTTCGATGCAGCAGCAGCAACAGGCACGGCAGCAGCAACAGCAGCGGCAGCAGCAGCAGCAGCAGCAGGAGGAGCAGCAGCAGCAGCGCCACCAGGAATGTCAGTAGCAGAGGCAATACCACCATTATCAACATCATCACCCTCAGTAGCAGTACCAGCAGCAGCAAGAGAGATAAGGTCACGAGGATCATCCCTCTCCTCCCCTCCCTCCTCCTCCGCTCCTGGCGCCTCCTCAACCGTCCCTCCCAGCACAGCCAGCACAGGTACCACTACCAGCCGATGGAAGCGGGCGGCAGGGGGCCTGGTTGGGCGGCGGAGCGGGCGGCTGATTCCGGCTGGTATGCAGCAGATGATTGGCCAGGGGGTGGCTCAGGTGCAATCCATGGTGATTGCTGGGCTAGAGGATCTGCTAGATTTGGATTCGGAAGGAGGGGAGATTGGTGGAGCGGGGTTGAGTGCGGTGAGAAGTGATGGAGCTGGTAGCGGGGCGAGCAGGCTCGGGTTGAGTGTGGTGGAGAGCTGTGGGATGGGAGTCTCTGGTGTGGGGAGTGAAGGGTTGAGCAGCGCTGGTGGTGGTGGTCTTTTTGAGGGTAGCCTGGGTAGGCTAGACGAGGGGAGTGTTGGCGTTTCAAGAGTGGGTGTTGTTTCGAGTGGCAGGCCCCGCAGCAGCAGCTGCAATTGGCCCGATGCATCTTCTAGTGAGGGGACTCAAACTCCGGTGGGTGATTGTGACTCACAATCTGAGAGGTTGGAAGGTGGGCGTGCGGGGGTTGCTGCGAGTGGCAGGCCGCGCAGCAGTAGCTGCAATTGGCCCGATCCATCTTCTAGTGAGGGGAAGGAGGAAGGGCAAGACTCTAGGGAGGGAGGGAGTACAGCACAGTGCTCTGATATCCTCCCTGTCAGCAGTGAGGTGGATGTTTCAGCAGTGGCTGATGCGCTACCAGCTGTGCTAGACGAGAGACCAGGCGGTTTAAGTGCAGTGCAAAGCACTGATATCCTCCTCCCAGGAAGCTGGCAGCGCAGACCAGACAGTTTGAGTGCAGCGCAAAGCCCTGACTTCCTCCCAGAAACGCGCCCTGTCAGCAGTGAGTTGGATGTGTCAGCTGTTTCCGACGCGCTGCCAGCTGTGCTAGAAGAAGGATCGGGCCAATCAGACGCCAGTGCTGTTCGGAGGGACGTTTTGGGGAAGGAGATTGTAGAGGTGGGAGCGGTGACTGGTGATGGCGGTGTGGGAGCATCAGGGTTTGCAGGAGACGGAATGGGAGGGATTGTTGAAGGATCTAGCAGGGGAGGAGGTGAACGAGGGGAAGTTGCTGCTGCTGCCATAGCAGTGAAAAGAGGGCTGCAGTCAGCAGCAGCAGCAGCAGCAGCGTCCGCTTTTGAGGATTCTCAAGAGCGATTGAGCGCACCAGAGGCGGCTGCTGCTGCCATAGCAGCAGGAGGAGGCTTCCTGGAGGCAGCAGAAGCGGCTGCAGCTGCTGTGTTGCGTCTGCATGGGCGGAGGGGGACAGCAGGAGAGGGGACGGGCTCAGGGGTAAGAGATGGGGGAAGCGGAACAGGAGGAGAGGGGGTAGGAGAAGGAATGGGAGAGCAGACAGGAGAATGGATGGGCGAAGGAACAGGTGTAAGAGCTGCAGCAGCAGAAGGACCAGCTGTTGGTAACATGGTAACCACTAGCTCCACCCCCTTCCCCTCCTCCTCCGCCCACACCACCACTCCTGTCGCCACCACCTTTCCTCCTCCCTCTCCCTCCTCCCCGCACCGCCCCCGGGCCTTCTCCCGGCTGCGCTGGCTGCTCCACGCCAACAGCGACGTGGTAACCGGCGCGTTCATGGTAACCGCGTTCTGCTGGAACCTCTCCCTCTCCACCCTCGTGTTCCCGCTCGCGCTCTTCCTGTACGCGCTTGTTTCGAACCCGTCCCCCGGGCCGAGGTTCTGGCGGGGGATGCTGGTTTATTCTGAGGTGTTAATTGCATTGGAGTATTTGTATCAGATACCCACACATGACGGGTGTACGAGCTGGGCTGGGGGGAACGGCGCGGAAGGAAGCGGGAAAAAGGGAGGGGGCGGTGAAGGGAGTAGCGGAGGGGGAGGGGGAGGGGGAGGGGGAGGGGGAGGGGGAGGGGGAGGGGGAGGGTTTGCTGGGTGGATAGCGGCTGGGTTTGGGATGGAGGGGTGGGATCGGCTGTTTGCTCTGTTAGGCGTCCGCCCCTACCCGAGCTGGTTCGTGTGGAACGTGCTTCCTCTCTTTGCAGTCTACCTCGCTCTGCTTGTTCAGACTGCCATCTGCCAGCGAAACAGCCAGTCTAGGGGTGCTAGGGAATCTAGGGTTTCTGGGGAGGCTAGGAGCTCTGTGAAAGGTGCCAGACCAGAGGAGGAGGAAGAGGAGGAGGTCAGGTTCGGAAGTGACCGAGGCTCGGACGGTGGTTCGGGCCGAGTTGGACAGGGAGGGGTTACAAGAGGAGGGGGGAGAGAGAGGGGGTAGGGAGGAGAGAGAGGGTTGGACTGACGAGGGTGGTTTCTGGGGTGGGTTGAATGGGATTGCGAGGGTGGTTGGTCGGCTGGTTGGGGTTAGCCAGGCTGTTCACGTGCATGCTTGCGTGGACTTCGAAGCTGATGTGGACGATGCTGACAGGGATGATGATGATGCTGACGTGGAGGCAGCTTCGCCTCTGCTGGGACTCAGCAAGCGTGCATCCACATTCCCCCAGGCCTCCTTTCAGGTATCACCTCGGTCGCCTCGGTCACCTCGTCAAGCCCGTGTGCCAGCCTTTGCTCTCACGTCTCGCAACGGCCACAGCTCAGCAGCAGAGGGCAGCAGCAGCTCCATGCACGGCTATCAGCAGCAGCAGCAGCAGGAGCAGGAGCAGGAGCAGCAGGGGCAGTGGCAGCAGCAGCAGCAGCAGCAGCAGCAGCAGTAGGAGCAGCAGCAGCAGCAATAGGAGTAGCAGCAGAGAATCTACCGGCCCGTTTTCTTTTCAGCGGGTATGGGGGGGCCTGTCGTTTCGATGCATAGTAGCGTGGAGGGGATTAATTAGGTTCCTAAGGGCTGCTATGGAAGGTTCCGAAGCGCCTCCTTACTTTGTTCAGGTTGTGCTGTGCAGCCCGGATGGGTGGACGGCCAATCAGATGCTGCCAGGTGTCATTGAAGGGGCTTTTAATTTCCTGCTAGCGCATGCTGATGATGTGGCAGCACCTGCTGACGTGGCAGTGCCTGCTGATGTGGCAGGAGCTACACAGAGAAGGGGAGGCCACGGTGCAGGTGGCTTGAAAAAGCATGTGCGTTTTGAGGGAGACGAATCAGTGGTGACTGAACAGCAGCAGCAGCACTATCAGCAGCAGCAGCAGCATTATCAACATGAGACTCAACAGTGGACTCAGCAGCAGCACCTAGGAGTAGGAGTGAAAGCACTGGTGTTGCGTTCTTGCGACTTTCCCCTGTGCGTGCGAGTGCACAGCGTGCAATGCACTGGCTCCCTCAACACTTCCTCACTCAACACCACCGCACTCAACACCTCCTCACTCAACACCTCCTCACTCAACACCTCCTCACTCAACACCACCGCACTCAACACCTCTGCCCCTGCAGTAGCCAACCCACAAGAAACAGTGAACTCCCCCCCTCCTGCTGCTTCTTCTGCTGGTACACGTGAAAGTGGTCCCCACCCTTCCTCTCCGCCTCACGCTCCTCCCCACTCGCATCTCCCTGTTACTGACACTCTAGTGGTGGTGCTAGAGGTGGTTACCACCGCCACCACTGCCACCACCAGTGCCTCTGCTCCTGCTTCGACCTCTGTTTCCACCTGCTCTGATCCTCCCTCCGCCGCCTCCCCAATGCCCCAGCACGGCGTTTCTAAGCCACACACGTGGCACGACACGTGGCAGTCTCTCACGCCATCTGCTGACGTGGCAAAGAGGCTCGGGAGGTTCATGAGTGGGGGAAGGCCGGGGGGCGGGGGAGAGGGAGAGGTGGAAGGAGGAGGAGAGGGCAGGGGGGAAGTGGTGAGAGGAGTGGGTGGTGTGGGGGGGCAAGGGGGTGGGCATGGTGACAGCAGCAGAGTGAGGGCATCGGCTGTTGCGAATGGCATTCTAGGAAGGGCGTTTGGGTCACGCCGTGCGCAGTTCGCCTCAGTTGTTGCAGGTATAGACTTTTGAGGCGCCTCAAAAGTTGTTGCAGGTATAGAGCTCTCATTAATACTCGATCAGCATTCTCGCCTTCTCCTGCGTGGGCCACTTTACCTCTGCTAGTGTCAGTCAGTCTTTCATATCGATTTCCCTATTCCCGTCCTTTCAGGAAGTTGGATCTATACCCCTACATTTTCTGCATCAACACCCTTGCCTTCTTCTCCCACGTGGGGCTCGTTTTTGTGGGTCACTGAACCTCCATTCACGCTGGGCTGGCTTCCCTATCTATCCATATTCCCACCCTCCCAGGCGGCCGTAGGGAGAATTTCAGTGTTTAGAATTTCACTGTCTTTTCCTACTTGCTCTAGCCTGAATTTAAGTAGTGCCGCTCACTGGAAAATGTCCGAGGATCGGCTGGCTTCCCTATCCATCCATATTCCCACCCTCCCAGGCGGCCGCAGGGAGATAGATTTTGAGGCGCCTCAAAATCCGCGTGCATTGAGATAGATTTTGAGGCGCCTCAAAATCCGCGTGCATTGAGATAGATTTTGAGGCGCCTCAAAATCCGCGTGCATTGAGGTATATTTTGAGGCGCCTCAAAATCCGCGTGCATTGAGGTATATTTTGAGGCGCCTCAAAATCCGCGTGCATTGAGGTGTATTTTGAGGCGCCTCAAAATGCACCTCAATGCCCGCTGGGCTGGCTTCCCTATCTATCCATATTACCATCCTCCCAGGCGGTCGCAGGGAGATAGATCTCCACCCCTACATCTTCTGCATCGACATCCTTCTCTTCTTCTACGTGGGGCTCTTCTACGTGGGGCTCTTCTACGTGGGGCTCTTCTACCAGTCGGCTGTGCCATGCCATATGTCACCCTCGGTTTCCCTTCGTCCGACTCCCATCCCATCCTTGCTCCCAGGCGGCCGCAGGGAGGTGGATCTCTACCCCTACATCTTCTGCATCGACATCCTCGCCTTCTTCTACGTGGGGCTATTCTACCAGTCGGCTGTGCGGGACCGCTCGCCCTTTGAGGAGGTCATTCACACAGGCGACCAGTTCCCCTCCACATACGTTGCGGTTCTCATGGTACGTACGAACCGTAGCAGAATGACCTAGGGATATGGACAACGGCATGGCATGTCATGTCATGGTACGTACTGTTCTTCATACCAAACCCCTTAACTAATTCCCCATCCCCCCATTCCCCGTTCCCCATCTCCCCTACAAGCAGACGCAGTTCTTCCTCATAGTCACCAACCGCATCCTCTACCTGGTCTTCAGCGCGCCGTTCCGCATCCTCTACCACCTCACCTCGCTCCTCCTGCACCTCGGCTACCCCATGCGCCTCTTCTGGAACGCCAACCTCACCGCCTCCCACAACACCATCCCCTCCCCTCTCCCGCTCTCCCTTCCCATCCTATCCCTTCCCCTTTCCTCCCCTCCCCTTCCCGCTTTCTCCTCTCCTTCCCCTTCTACTCAACTCTATTTCTTTCCCCTGTACCACCTTCCTACTTCCCCCATCCCCCACCTCCCCACCCCCCATCCCCAACCCCCCATCCCCCACCACCCATCCCCCCTACAAGCAGACGCAGTTCTTCCTCATAGTCACCAACCGCATCCTCTACCTGGTCTTCAGCGCGCCGTTCCGCATCCTCTACCACCTCACCTCACTCCTCCTGCACCTCGGCTACCCCATGCGCCTCTTCTGGAACGCCAACCTCATCGCCTCCCACAACACCATCCGAGCATACCTCGCGATCAAATCCATCTCCCTCGCGCTCTCCGCGCTGCAGCTCAAGCACGGCCCGCCCGGCCCGGCGAGCAAAGCGACGCCGTTTCTGACAAGGAGAGCCACGTGGCTGCGGTGGCAGCTGTTCCGGGTTTACCGCATGCTGCCGTTTCTCTACGAGCTGCACCTGATTCTCGACTGGTGGTGCACGAAAACGTCCCTGCCACTATACGACTGGTTAAAGGTACGCTGCTAGCAAGCTACGCACAGCACAGCACTGCACTGCGCTGGCAGCTGTTCCGGGTTTACCGCATGCTGCCGTTGCAGGGATTTTTTGAGAATTCTCAAAAAATCTCTTCTCAAAAAATCCCCGCATGCTGCCGTTTCTCTACGAGCTGCACCTCATCCTCGACTGGTGGTGCACCAAGACCTCTCTGCCTCTCTACGACTGGCTTAAGGTACGCTACTGCTACCTAGCAACACTGTCACCGCCCCGCACTGTGAGAATGAGGCATCTAAGGCCAGCCGTTTCTGACCAGGAGGGCCACGTGGTTGAGATGGCAGCTGTTCCGGGTTTGCCGCATGCTGCCGTTTCACTATGAGCTGCATCTGATTCTGGATTTGCACGAAAACAACTCTGCCTCTGTACGACTGGCTCAAGGTATCATCTTAGACTTTTAGTGTCAGCTTCAAGGCAGCTGTTCCATGCCGGCTCAACCGCATGCTGCCCTTTCTCCTCTTTTTTTTTTTTTTTTTTTTTTTTTTTCTTTTTCCCTTTGAGAATTCTCAAGAAACAAGGCAGCTGTTCCGGCTGTACCACATGCAGCCGTTTCTCTACAAGCTGCATCTGATTCTGGTGGACTGATGGTGTATGAAAACGACTCTACCCCTTTATGTCTGGCTCAAGCTGCACTGCTCGTATTGGTTTTTCTCTGCAGTACAGAAGTAGAATGAAGCATGAGCGACCCTGCACTCATCTGTTCCCCTCTCCTCTCCCCGTCTTCTCCCCCCTCCCACCTCAACAGCTAGAGGACATATACACCAGTCTCTACCTCGTCACCTGTGATCGCAACATAACAAGGCAACATAAGCAATGCTATACCCGTCTGTCTGTCTATCTCCCCCCCCCCCCTCTCTTTACCCACCCCCCCACAGCTGGAGGACATATACGCCAGTCTCTATCTCGTCACCTGTGATCGCAACATACCAAGGCAACACGAACATGGCGATGCCAGACTCTCTGCCTCTTTCCCTTTCATCCCTTCCTCTCTCTCCTCTTCCTTAACAGCTAGAGGACATATACGCCAGTCTCTACCTCGTCATCTGTGATCCCAAGATACCAAGGCAACATAAGCAATGCTATGCCCGTCTGTCTGTCTATGTCCTCCCCCCCCCCCCCCCCCCTCTTTACCCACCCCCCCAACAGCTGGAGGACATATACGCCAGTCTCTACCTCGTCACCTGTGATGGCAAGATAGCGCGGGCTGGGCACAAGCCTGACGACATTCCTGCACTCCTTCTGTGCCCTGCCTACATTGCTCCCTTTATTTTCCACCATTCTCCCTTTCCCCCAACAGCTAGAGGACATATACGCCAGTCTCTACCTCGTCACCTGTGATGGCAAGATAGCGCGGGCTGGGCACAAGCCTGACGACATTCCTGCACTCCTTCTGCGCCCTGCCTACATTGCTCCCTTTATTTTCCACCATTCTCCCTTTCCCCCAACAGCTAGAGGCCATATACGCCAGTCTCTACCTCGTCACCTGTGATGGCAAGATAGCGCGGGCTGGGCACAAGCCTGACGACATTCCTGCACTCCTTCTGCGCCCTGCCTACATTGCTCCCTTTATTTTCCACCATTCTCCCTTTCCCCCAACAGCTAGAGGACATATACGCCAGTCTCTACCTCGTCACCTGTGATGGCAAGATAGCGCGGGCTGGGCACAAGCCTGACGACATTCCTGCACTCCTTCTGAGCCCTGCCTACATTGCTCCCTTTATTTTCCACCATTCTCCCTTTCCCCCAACAGCTAGAGGACATATACGCCAGTCTCTACCTCGTCACCTGTGATGGCAAGATAGCGCGGGCTGGGCACAAGCCTGACGACATTCCTGCACTCCTTCTGCGCCCTGCCTACATTGCTCCCTTTATTTTCCACCATTCTCCCTTTCCCCCAACAGCTGGAGGACATATACGCCAGTCTCTACCTCGTCACCTGTGATGGCAAGATAGCGCGGGCTGGGCACAAGCCTGACGACATTCCTGCACTCCTTCTGTGCCCTGCCTACATTGCTCCCTTTATTTTCCACCATTCTCCCTTTCCCCCAACAGCTGGAGGACATATACGCCAGTCTCTACCTCGTCACCTGCGATCGCAAGATAGCGCGTGCCGGGCACAAGCCGGGGCAGCCGCAGGGGTGGGGGGTGAAGCTCATGGGAGGAGCCTTTTTCTTCCTCGCTTTAGTCACAGTCATCTGGGCTCCCATGCTGGTGAGTCTCGTTATTGTCACGCCACAACTGGGAGTGATGTGATGTTCCCTGCTCCTCCCTCGCCGTAGTCACAGCCACCTGGGTGCCAATGCTGGTGCGTCTCTTTATTGTCACCACTATAGTCACTTTTCGGTTATCTGTGATGATATTGCTTCTCGCTCGTCCTGCTATAGTCGCAGGCATCTTGGCGCCCATGCTGGTAATTGTTGTTGTAGTCTCATGCTGTTATGGTCACACACACGGCGATTTTCTCTAGTCACAGATCACATGGGCGGCGCATTCTTCTTCCTCGCTTTAGTCACAGCCATCTGGGCGCCCATGCTATGTAAGTCCTTCTGGCACAGTCAAACAGCGATTTGCTCATACTAAACACAGTTGACAGTGCTTGATATTGCTGCTTGCTTCCTTGCTATAGTCACAGCCATCTGGGCGCCCATACTAGTGAGTTCCGTTATTGTCACGGTTGCCACCTCCTCCTCCTCCTCCTCCTTCTCCCCTTTCCCACTTTCCCCCCGCCCTTTCCGTGTCTCCCTCAGATCTACAGCAGCGGCAACCCTGCCAACTACCCCAATATGGTGACAGATGTCCGAGTCAACTTGGTTCTTCAGACCTGCTCCGGCTCCTTCCCCATCTTTGAGGGCGGGCAGGAGCGCCTCCTGCTTGACCCTCTGCTCTATCCAGGCCCCTGGTTTCACACTCCCCTGTTCTCCCCTCCCTTTCCCTCTCCCCTTCTCCGCTTCCCTCCTCTCTTTCTCCCCCTTTCCTTTTCTTCAGATCTACAGCAGTGGCAACCCCGCCAACTACCCCAACCTCGTCACAGATGTGCGAGTCAACCTGGTTCTTCAGACCTGCTCCGGCTCCTTCCCCATCTTTGAGGGCGGGCAGGAGCGCCTCCTGCTTGACCCTCTGCTCTATCCAGGCCCCTGGTTTCACACTCCCCTGTTCTCCCCTCCCTTTCCCTCTCCCCTTCTCCGCTTCCCTCCTCTCTTTCTCCCCCTTTCCTTTTCTTCAGATCTACAGCAGTGGCAACCCCGCCAACTACCCCAACCTCGTCACAGATGTGCGAGTCAACCTGGTTCTTCAGACCTGCTCCGGTTCCTTCCCCATCTTTGAAGGGGGCCAGGAGCGCCTCCTGCTAGACCCTCTGCTCAACCCGGGGCCCGCGACCCCCTTTCAGCTCACTGGCTCACAGCAGCTGCAGGAGATGCGTTTCCTGGAAGGTTCCTTCTCAGGTGTTCCGGAGGAAGGTTCCTTTGCTGGTCGGGAAGAGGAGGACGGTTCTTTGGGGGTTTCTGGAAGGTTCCTGGGGTATCCTGAGGGGGCGGCGGCTTCTGTGGCAACGGAGCAGGACGCGGAGGAAGGTTCGTGGGAAGCTGCTAGGGATGCAGTGGAAGGTTCCTGGAACCAGGGCTCCTACAGGGATGAAAGGCATCGCACACTCACTGAAACTGAGTACTCTGGTAGTAGAACGCCTTACACTGGTAGCGGATCTTCTTATACCGAGTTGTTCCCACAGCATGAGCCTGTGCTTGTACCCTTTACAAGCATGCCCGATTCATTGCACCACAGCAACCACCACGGTTCAGCTGCTGACAGTAGTTTTAATGTACAGTTACCAGCAGTCACAGAGTCTCCTCCTCCTTCCCCCTCCTCTCCTCCCCTCCCTGCCTCCTCTCCTCCCCTCCCTCCTCCCTCTCCCCCACCCCCACCTCGAGTTCCCTCTTGGAACGTCTCAGATGACCCCGTCCTGAATTCCACGGGGTATTTACCCGTTGATATGCGCCTGGTGTGCGTTTACCCCGACTCCCTCTCCCTCTTTCAGTTAACACCCCCTGCCGAGAGCCGGCTAAAAGAAGCACTTAGGAAAGCGGCCACAGGAGGAGGAGGGGGGGGCAGAAGCAGAGGAAGGAAAAGCTATGGATTGAGAAGAGGGAGAATAAGAGATTTGTCAGGACAATCACACCTAAGGGATTCCTTACCATATCACCCAATTCAACCCTCACTCTCCTCCTCCCAACCAGCCTCCTCCCGTCGCTCTCTCCAAGCCTCTTCCCAAGTCTCCTCCCAAGCCTTCTCCCGAGCCTTCTCCCAAGCCTCTCTTTCCGGTCCGCCAGACCCCTGTGCGCCGAGCCTGATCGTCCAGTGGTGGTTCACACGCCCCCGCCCTGTCCGAAGGGAGGTGGCATCGTGGGAGGAGGTTTATTCCGGCCTGCCCCCCGCGCTGCTGGCTGATGGGCTACTGGGGATATTGGAGGGGAGGAAAACACCTGCTGGGCTACTGGAGGGGAGGAAAACGCCTGGCGATGGTGGTGATGGTGGTGGGGCCTTGGGGTTGTTGCTACCACAGCTCTATCCTGTCTACTGGAAGCTTCCTGGGTTTGGCAACGCGAGAGAGCTGGAAGCTTCTAAGGTAAGGCTGAATATCAAGTGTGGGCAAAACATGCAGAGTGGGGGGGGAGAAGGAAAGAAGCGAAGGGCAAGGGAGGTTGGGGCAAGAGAAATGTGAAGGGGTGGAGAGGAGAAAAAAAGGGGAGAGGGGGGTGGGTGGGGGGGTTGAAGGAGTTGTGTGTGTGTGTGCATGCGTGCGTGCGTGCATGTGTGCGTGCATGCGTGCGTGCGTGCGTGCGTGCGTGCGTGCGTGCGTGTGTGTCTTGCCTGTCTCTTCATGTGCATGTATCCATGTGCGTGCGGTTGCGTATGTGTGCCGTGCACGCATTTGTGCATTCCGTGCTGCACCCATCCCCTTCCAAAGCCAGACGTTTGGTAGCGGCCATCTGGCCTGAGTAAGAGTCGTGTTTTGAGTCGACTCAAAACTCGACCCATCCCTTCCAAAGCCAGACGTTTGGTAGCGGCCATCTGGCCTGAGTAAGAGTCGTGTTTTGAGTCGACTCAAAACTCGACCCATCCCTTCCAAAGCCAGACGTTTGGTAGCAGCCATCTGGCCTGAGTATCGTGTTTTGAGTCGACTCAAAACTCGACCCATCCCTTCCAAAGCCAGACGTTTGGTAGCGGCCATCTGGCCTGAGTAAGAGTCGTGTTTTGAGTCGACTCAAAACTCGACCCATCCCTTCCAAAGCCAGACGTTTGGTAAAGGCCATCTGGCCTGAGTATCTCTCTCGAATGGTCCTTCATTTGATATGAGTATCTTTCTCTCTTACCTGGAAGCTTCATTCAGTAATCAGGTTTTCTAAAATTTTCTAAAAAACAACCTGCAACGTAAAGGCCATCTGGCCTGAGTATTTCTCTTACCTGGAAGATTGATTCGGTAATCATTTTTTGGCAGCCTCGCTTCCTTCTCAAATAAGCTTGCTGCGATCGAAACTGTTCTCAGCAATGGCTGCCTGCTCCCTGCTGCAAAAAAATCCTCTTCTCTTCTGCCCTGAACCAGGTTCCACGGATCTGTGCTCATGAAGGATCGTCCAGTAGGCAAGGTCGCCTTTAGCAAAGGGACGATAGTCAACTAGTGAAAAAACAGAAAGTAACCCTTGAAATTTTTTATTAAAATCCTCTCCTCTTCTGCCCTGGACCAGGTTCGATCCGCCTGTTGCCTACAACTGCAAGATGACTCAACAAGCAGCAGCAGCAGCAGCAGTGGCGGCAGCAGCAGCAGCAGCAGCAGCAGCAGCAGTGGCGGCAGCAGCAGCAGTGGCAGCAGCAGCAGTGGTAACAGCCGCTGGTGGGTGCTGCGCTGTGCTCCTCTCCCACCTGAATTTCCCTCTCCACCCTCCCCCCAATCACTGCCCTTCCCTGTGCCCTGAACCAGGTCCGTTCTGCCTGTTGCCTACAACAGCAGGATGACTCAACCAGCAGCAGCAGCAGCAGCAGTGGCGGCAGCAGCAGCAGCAGCAGCAGCAGTGGTAACAGCCGCTGGTGGGTGCTGCGCTGTGCTCCTCTCCCTGCTGACTCCACTGGTACGCTTGGTGTGTGTTCCTATAACACTTCGCAAAACGCCACCTTTTCCCGTGGCGGCAGTGGGGGAGGCAGCAGCAGCAGCAGCAGCAGCAGCAGCAGCAGCAGCAGCAGCAGCAGCAGCAGCAGCGGATGGGGAAGTGGTGGTTGGGGCAGCAGAAGGGAGGTTGCAGGGGTGGAGCCACCAGGAGAAGGAAAGGGTGGGAATTCTGCAGGGATGGAGAGGAGGCTGCTAGAGAGTGAGGGTGTGCGGGCATTGGAGGCATGCGGAGAGGCGTCAGGGCCTGCTGCCATCACGGTGTCAGAAGAAGTGCCTGGTAGGTTCCGTATCACATGCATATGCTTCACTTCACATACATATTTCTGGATCAGTGAGTATTGACCAGTGTGGGCGGGCAGTAAAGGGTGTGAGTGAGTGAGGGCACTGGAGACAGTTGGAGAGGCGTCAGGGCCTGCTGCCATCACCGTGTCTGAAGAAGTGCCTGGTAAGTGTTGTGTTGCGCCTGGCAGGCTCAGTTTCACACACATGTTTGGTGGATTATTTTTTTTTAGGCGCCTCAAAAGTCGCCTGGCGGGCTCAGGCTCAGTCTCACACACATGTTTGGTGGATTAGTGCTGTGCCGCACACTTTCTGGGTAGGCGGGGGTGGGTATTAACCAGATAGGATGGGCGGGCAGTAAAGGATGTGAGGGCGTTGGAGGCATGTGGAGAGGCGTCAGGACCTGCTGCCATCACTGTGTCTGAAGCAGTATGTCATCACTGCTGCCATCAGCGTGCCATCACTGCTGCCATCACTGCTGCCATCAGCGTGCCATCACTGCTGCCATCACTGCTGCCATCACTGCTGCCATCACTGTGTCTGAGGAAGTTCCCGGTGGGTTCCTTGTCTTTTGAGGCTTCCCAGAGCATTCCTACTGCTATCACAGTGGTAGGTAAGGGCACTGGCAGTATGTGGCGACGCGTCAGGGCCTGCTGCCATCGCTATGTCAGAAGAAGTGCCTGGTATGTTGTTCCATTAGGTTCGAGACTTCCCGAAGGTGTGTGTGATGGCGCGCTGGCGGCATGTGGAGAGGCAACAGGGCTTGCTACTATCATGGTGTCGGAGGAAATGCCTGGTGGGTGTGGTTTGTTTGACTCACATATGCTAGGATCAGTGGGTATCGAAGATTCAAAGCTCTGGGTGACTTTTCAAAACAAAGCTTCTGCCATCACAGTGCCAGGGGAAGTGCCTGGTGGGTTCCGGCAAAACACCCTGATGTTTCCTTTCATTGCATGCCGGTAGAAAAAAAAACATTAATTGAGATTAGATGCATAAATGCGGATTAGAGCGCGAGCTGTACCATCTCCTGCAGCAAGCTATCCTTTTTACGAAGACATTGTTCCCTCTCAGGAGCGAGTTAGTTGAGAGGGAGCAGTGTCTTCGTGAAAATGATAGCTTGCTGTAGGAGATGGCTGAACAAACTGAAGATCCTCAAGAATCGACTCATGGTACAGCTCGTGTCTCAGCATTTTTTAATCTAACCCTAAAAAAAAAAAACATTCTACCTGCATGCGTTGAAAGGAAACATCAGGGTGGTGGATGTTGTGTCTGTTGGCTTTTGTGCTTGGTGGCTTTTGTGCTTGGTGGCTTTTGTGCTTGGTGGCTTTTGTGCCGGATGGGTGTTGCTGTGGCACTTTTGAGGCGTGTCAAAGCTACGCATTCCCTGAGGAGAACATATGCTCAGAGCCTTTCTGATATCGCTAGACTTGTGCCCTTCTTTTTCTCCACTCAGAAACACACCTTCATCCCCATCATAGCAGGATTTGTAAGGGAGGCGATGTGGACGTTCAGCATCATAGGGCAGGGATGTACGCCACATTCATGCTCACACTCCGCAATGCCCCCATTTCCCTCTGACCCCAACATAGACGGAGTGCTAGGGGAGGCGAAGCAGACATTCAGCATCACAGGCCTTACGTCACGTTTGTGCTCGCATGCCCCATTCTCCCCCCCATTCCCCATTCCCATTACCCGTTCCCTCTCCCTAAACTGCAGCCGGAGTGCTAGGGGAGGCGATGCAGACGTTCAGCATCACAGGACTTTATGTCACGTTCGTGCTTGCCCTGGGGCGACTCATTCGCTCTCAGAGCTCTGACCTTCGTCTCAAGATACCCTACGAGAATCTGCCCTCTTGTGAAAGGCAAGTTCTTCTCTCATGCTCCTTTGAAATAGGCACCTGACACACATTCCTCGGGTGCCTTAGGCACCTCAGAACCTTCAAAAATCAGACTACTAATCTTCACCTCAAGATACCCTACGATAATCTGCCTTTCCTGCAAAAGGCAAGTGTTTTTTCTCAGGCTCCTGTAAAATAGCCTCCTCAAAATGTAAACTCTGAACAGAGCTCTGTCCTTGGCCTCAAGATGCCCTAGGAGAACTTGCCCTCTTGCAAAGGACAAGTGTTTCTCCCTAGGAGTTGTAGGAGTAGAGCTCTGATCTTTGCTTCAAACTGCTCTATTTCGGTAGAATCTGCAGCTCTGTGAATCTTAAAGAGTTAACACTCGCATGTAGAATGAATAAGCCAACAGCCATTTGGATCAACCCACATCTGTGGCTCACGGTTTCTCTCTCCCTCCTGGCGAGTCCTTCCATGTTTAATTCTTTCCTGTTTTTGGCATTTTGTTCCAAACAGTTGTGTTTTTACGTCACCCTGGTTCCTTCCCGTGTTTCCTTCCTTCCTCCAGTGTCATCTTATCCTGTTTATGCTTATGTGTGTCCAAACTCCCAATACAATGGATAGACTCATGGCTATATGCGAAGATTTATATGCGGCACGAGCAGAGGACGACCTGGAGCTAGAAGAAGGGCTTTATTGGACTTTGATAAAAATATATCGCTCACCACATGTGCTTCTTGAATACACCAAGGGTGACAAAGCTGATTGACCAATACGCAAAGTTTCAAGTGAATGTTTTCCTAAACATGCATTTTTTACATTCCAATGTATTTATACAATGTCAGTAGCATTGGACTTGCTTTATTGCGCATGCATCGAAAAAGTAATGACATTGGATTAGGGGGCTACGAGCGTGGCAGGAATCCATCGTCCTCATGTAGGTCACATATACAATCTGTAGGGAATTCAAATCCGGAATTAACTGTATTTTTTTCCTTCTTCAATTGATGAAATTTTTGTTTTGTTACTCCTTGGATTCCCTAGCTGTTGTGGATGCTAGTATGTGTAGATTTAAAATAATAGTTAAAAGGCAAAATAAAACTATATCGGGTAAAGTGCAAGACATCCAGCTATATCGGGACGAAGCTGTACCACGCGGTGGAATTCTGGCCGTTGAGGCTTGTGAGCTGGTCGGTTTCGGTGGTGAAGACTCTTAGAGATTGGGTGTAGTTTCGAGCGTGGCCACTGTTCTAGGGGGTATGTGCGAGACTGTATTGTGTATTGTATGTTGATTGTATATTGTGAAGTCCATTTTCCGTGCTCCATTAATCTAACGAATAGGTTGCTGAATTCAGCTTTAGTTGTTTCTGTTAATTTATAAATGTCTATTTCTCGGGCTGGTGGGTGTGCTTCCCTCCCAGCTTTCGATCTTCGGATGCATTTCGTTACTCCCTGCTTTAGTTCAGATCTTATGCCACACAGTCATCCCGCGTTGATGAGGTGTGACTTCTGGAGGGGGTTGTTCAGTGGTCACCAATCCCAGTTGCTGTACAGACCCACAGCTAGACCGCACTGTTTAATATATATCCGAGTTCCTTTTCAAATGCTGGGTTAGAAAAAACACACTTGCAGTTGAAATGTCGGCTGCAGTCTAGACCGCACTGTTTAAAATATTTCCGAGTTCCTTTTCAATTGCTGGGTTAGAAAAAACACACTTGCACATGAAAATGTCGGCTGCAGAACTGAACCGGATATCCATCTACATTTTATAGTCTGTCGTGCACACACCATGGTCTCATATTAGAAGCCCAACTTCGGATCATTTGGGATGTCCCTCAATTTTTCAGATATATGAGATTTTTCGAAGCAAGTTACCCAAACGAACTATCCGCAAAAGCATCGCCCGAAAATCACAAGACGACAAAATATGTGACTGCCAGTTGACCTGACGAATCTTGCGTGTTGAGACACCACCACCACCCACCACCATCACCACCACCAAAGCTGGGATGACCTCGGAGGTTGCTGCCATCTGAGTTGTACTCCTCCTAGTACTAGTCAACTATTTTTCGCAGTCTACTAGCTGTAGATATACTACTAGCACTACTAGTAAAATTTCGCAAACCCCAATCTTCCGCTCGTCGCCGAAATGTCTAGTTCATCTTTCCGCGGCACAGGGGCCGCTGCCGCTGACCAGACGCCGGAAACTGTGAAGTCTGAAGCATCACAAAGTTCGAGTTGGGTGGCTGGAATGTGCGAGAAAACATCCATCAAATGCGTCAAGATACGACCGCTCGGGGACGTCCTTCGTGACGCAAGCAGAGTCGCCGCTGTTACTACTACTAGTAGCACGAGTACTAGCTCAGCCCCGCCAAAACGACTGCGGCCGCCGCCCAGGCGACTCGCTGGCGGACTAAATGTATCTTCACCGCCGCATCGCGTATCCGCCGTTAAAAAACAGCCGGCGCACTGCGGTGGAGGCGCGAAATGGCGGCGGAAACCGGCGGAGGGAAAGGGCAACTTTAGGAGCGATGATTCTGGAAATGGGCGGAGACCGGGATCATCAGCTGCTGAAGGGCAATCCGGCGGCAGAATCGCCGGGGTATCCTGGGGGCTTCAGCCTAAAGCAGACGACAATGATTCCGACTTAAAGACCATGCAGGGCTCTGAAGCATCATCTTCGGACGATGACCTGATTGACCTGGTTCACTCCGATGAGATTTCGTTGCAAGGCAGTGAATATCCGGTGATGAGTCATGGTCAGCCGCGTCAACGGCGTCAACGGAAGGGCAATCTGAAGGCCTTAATAGCACCCGGACCGGCGCCGCCTGTGAAACAACAGGTAAACTTGAGAGTTGATTCTTCTGGAGCCGCCGGAGTCATGGATTACACGTGCCACAGCTCCCGCTCCTAAAGCACCATAGTAGTACTATCCACAAGTAGACTCACGTGCCTAGGGCACCGCAGTAGCTATTGCTTGAACGTTCCCGTGGAAATACTACTAGTATTATTCGTCACCTTCCTCCTTTCTTTTACCCCCTCGCCCCCCTTCTGTTCACCCTTCCTCCCTATCGCTTCCTTAATTTAAATTATGATATATTATAAAAAGTTAGGTCTTTGCTTTGCGCGTCCTGATTCCAGCATGCCACTCTTTGCGTCGCCACCTACTCATACATCCTGAACCAGCTAGAATCTCATCTGCTGGTGTTCACACCTGCTCCCCTTAGTCTTTCCTGAAGAATCAGCATGATCCAGTCCTTCATCCATTCCTTTCAACACCTCTCGTTCGCGCCCATCCATCCTCCCAACATTTTTTATTAAGCAAACTAAATTCTCGCACACGTACTGACAATCTCTCCTGTTATTTGTTCCTACCTTCCTGGTCCTTCTGTACCGTGGTAGGTAAAGCGGTGAGAAATGTTGAGACGCATCAAGAACCTGATTATTTCATCCTGCCGTCCTTTTTCCTGTCCCCTGTGCAGTTGTAGCCAGGCACGTTGAGTCTGCTCACCAACCTAATTACCTGGCGAGTGGAGCACAAATAATTTTTGTCATCAGCTCAAGCACCTGATTTTCTCGAGATCTTTGTTTCCTCGACCAATTCTTGGCAGGTGAAGCAGGACGTGTTTTTGGTCAGCTCAAAAAAACTGTTTTTTCTTTCCTGCCATCTTGATCCCTGTCCCCTGTGCCTGGCTGGCAGGTGAAGCTGAGAGTATTTCGAGTCAGCTCAGTAACCTATTTCTCTTTCCTGACGTCCTGATTTCTGTCCCCAGTGCCATTACCCGACAGGTGTGACAGAGTAGTTTTGAGTCAGCTAAAAAAACCGTTTCTCTTTTCTAAAATACTGGCTGTGCCGTTACCTGGCAGTTGAAGCGGAAAAGGGGGCAGGACGAAGTTCAGACACGGCTGCAAGGAGTCGCCAAGGCAGAAAATCAGCAAGTCAGTGAAGATAGGGTCGATGAGTGGAGCAACCACCATGGCATGCGCGCTCGGAATGGCACGGAATGTGACAGGAAGAAGGTGCAAGCTCTTTTGAAGTCTGGTGCGTACAGCAACAAAAGGCAGCGGTTAAGTCAGGCTAGGTGTGGAAAGGAGGAGGAAGAGGGAAAGGAGGAGGAGGAGTGCAATTCACAGCAGCAACCCATCATTGCAGATTTGAAGGGCGAGGAAGTTCAGAGGCCGGAAAGCAGCGAGGAGTCTCTTTCGGAGCGAGAGAGGAGGAGAGATGCAGAGCTGGGCGAGCCCGAAGTGTGCTCCAGCTACCAAAAGAACTTAGCACCATCTGGTTGCGTGCCAAGACACTCTGCAAGCAGCTTGGACAGTGGAATGAAGGGCAGTGGTGGGCCCATAGGGGGTGTGGGGACGAGCAGTGGTAGTGGCAGTGGCAGTGGTGCTGGTGGTGGCAGTGGCAGTGGCAGTGGCAGTGGCAGTGGCAGTGGCAGTGGCAGTGGCAGTGGCAGTGGCAGTGGCAGCGGCAGTGGCAGTGGCAGCAGCAGCAGTGGCAGTGGCAGCGGCAGTGGCAGCGGCATTGGCGGTAGCAGTGGCAGTGGTCGTAGCAGTGGCAAGGGTGGTGGCAGTGGCAAGGGTGGTGGCGGTGGCAGAGGTGGTGGCAGTGGCAGCGGTGGTGGCAGTGGCACTTGTGGTGGCAGTGTCAGCGGTGGTGGCATTGGCACTGGTGGTGGTGGGTGTGGTGGCAGCGGTGGGGGCAGTGGCACTGGTGGTGGTGGTGTCAGTGGCGATTGTAATAACGGCAAAGAGAGCTTCATGAAGATTATGGCAACCGAATTTCACGCAGTCTTGATTATGGACAAAGGGGCTGGCAAAGCAGCTGCTGGGAAGACTGAAGAAGCAGATGAGGCACTGAAGAATGTGGATAGGGAAGGAGGAGATAGGGCTGGAGAGAGTGAAGAGGATGGATCAGGAGAGAAGGAAGTTGGTGGAGCAGGAGAGAAGGAAGGGGGTGGAGCAGGAGAGGGTGGAGGGTTTGGGGTAGGAGAGAGGGGAGGGAGTGGAGTCGGCGGCAGGGAAGCAGATAGGGCAGGAAAGACTGGAGGGGATGGAGAAGGAGAAAGGGAAGGGGATGGGGCAGGAGAGGCAGAAGGGGATGGAGCAGGAGCGAATGGAGTTGATGGGGCAGGAGAGAGGAAAGGGGGTGGAGCAGGAGAGCTAGCAGGGACTGAGGAGAGAGCAGCAAACAGAAACAGATCAGGAAATAAGGGCGCGGTTGATGCAAGTGTGAGGGAAGGAGACGGAGCAGGAGAGAAGGGAGCAACAGCATGTGGTGAATCGAACACAGGCACTGCCAGCAAGGGAGGTGGGGGTGGTCAGCCGGCTGTGGGTGTTGAGGTGGCAGGAGAGGAGGCTTTTGGTGGGAGCAACACTTGTAATAATCTCTGCTTCTTCGGTACTAGGGAAGTGGGTACTGGTCGTAACGGACACGGGCTGCTGGAGACCAATACGGAGAAGGAGAACATGGAGAAAGAGAGCGCTGTTGCACCTTCCTTTGACCTCAACTGCACGCCTTCTGATAGCTGCAGTGATGGCGACAGTTCGGGTGATGGGTATGGTGATAGCAATGGCGGCAGTGACACTGGTGATGGGGATGACCACTGCTTTGGCCTGGGTGAGGGGTTGGCAGCACAGAAATTGGTCCAAGGGCGGCCACAGCTGCAGCAGAAGCAGCGACAGCACATGGAGCAACAGAAGCAGCAGCAGCAGCAGCAGCAGCAGCAGCAGCAGCAGCAGCAGCAGCAGCAGCAGCAGCAGCAG